ACGTGGTTCAGTTTGGAGTCCATTTCCGAAGTTGAGTTTGGCGGGCGGTAAATCACGGCTAGTAGACATGTGCCCTTGTTTCGCAACCATAGGGGGCACCAAAGCGAATCGGAAGCTCGGATGACGTTTTTCTTATTCAAGAAAATAAGTAATTCATCTTTCACTATCCTTTTCATAATTCTAGATATTACAGGTGTGTGGCTGATGGGGCGATAGTTTTTAATTTCGTGAACGTTTCCATTCTTATGCCGCGGGATAACAACGGAAGTCTTCCAGTGTTTAGGATATACTGCACTGTTAAAAGAGAGCGTAAAAATGTTGAGCAATAGAAGAGGCAAGTCGCTCCCACCGCTTTTTAACAAGCAAGGGGGAATTCCATCAGGTCCTGGGTAAGTCGAGGAAGACAAGCGGGAGACTTGACCGGAGATTTTTGCAATGGTGAATTCCACCGTGCATAAACTTTCAGCAATGTGTGGTGTGACAAGCGCTGGTGTGGCTAGCGGTTCATCAACCATTGATTCGGCAAAATAGGCGCTGAAAGCTTCACAAATTTCACCCGGAGCATCAAGGTATGTGCCATCCGGCATAATGATAAAATTGATGGAATTACTGCGACGCAAACCTCTGGCACGAAACAGTTTGGACAGTTCCGTTGTTTTATTCGGGCCATTCAAAGCTTTGTATTCTTCTAATATGAGATTGCGAACATTTAGATGCCCGAGTTCCTCGATGATCTTTGCCTGCTGCAGTATTAGCGCAAAGTCTGCTGTTAGTCTAAATTTCCACCGGATCTTATGAAGCTTGCGTGTGATAACTAACACTTTGCGATCGGGTTTTTGTTTTCTTAGGCGGGCACACTTTATAGGCACTAATGAATCAATGCAAAGACCGATGATATCATAGAACACGTCTGCTGCTTTTTGAGGGCATGGAGAGAGGAAGAAATCATCCCAGTTCATCGAACGAACCATCTCCTTAAACGTGTTCCAGTTGACGGAGTTGAATAAACGATAGTGCAGTGGGTGTGGTTCATTGGCCATGTGTAATCTTAGACAGCATTTGACCACCCGATGGTCGCTCCCAGGGAATTCATTAAGGACCGTTACATTAATAGCAGGTATGCCCAGTGAGAAAATGAGATCAAGGATGCTGTTTCTTCTGGTAGGTTTGGAGACATGTTGTTGCCAACCATTCATATGAATACAAGAGATAAGATTATGAAATTTCAGAGGAGCAGTTCCTGCAGACCATGCAATCGATGGCAGATTGAAATCACCACCGATAATCTTGTGTTTAAACGGAAGGCTTACGGCACATTTAAATGCAGACGTCAAAACTACTAAATCCTCTTGGCTACAGTTTGGCGTGCTGTATATACAACCAACAAGCAGTTGCTGGTGTCTGATCGTTATCGTAAGCCAAAGTGACTTGCACATTATTCAGCACTGGATTCTCGAATGTCGTTGCTGCCAGCGATTGTTTCGCGTAAAGTACGCATCCTCCTCCTTGACGACACTGCTGACTTCTCATAAACATATCGTATCCGAAAATGGTTAGCTGGGTGTTAGACATGTCGTCATGGCACCACGACTCAGTTATAAATATTATGTCAGGATCGGTCACAGAAACAAATGAGCGTAGTATGTGGATCTTGGAATGAAGCGGACGAATATTAATCAAAAATATTAACATAGATGCGAGATGTGAAGAACGTTGTTTATGCTGCTTTATGAACATTGGGTTTGATAGCTTTGTGTCTGTGCCCATGCCAAAAATTGGTGAAACAAGGCGTGGATTGACACCTTCGTTGAAAAGGGATTGGGAGGTAGCCACAGGGGAGGGGGTTGTGACTGAGTATGGCCCTGTAGAAAATGGGATACGGGGGCGGGTTCATGGTCGGCATAGCAGCTCATGCGGGCAGGAGGATTATAGAGCGGGCTTCCATGGAACTCGCTAGTAGGCGCTAAATTTCGAGGCTGTGTCGCCTACGTCGTGGCACTGGTAGGTTGTTGATTGTATAGATTGGTGAAATGAGTAGATACGCAATCGTCATTTTCATCGTGGTAGGTAACCTGCTTAGGTGCGCTGGAGTCGTAAGGCTTCACTATAAGCGGTGGAGGCACACTAGTGTCAATCCATGCAGCTCGAACAGAATACATCGTGTTTTTTAAACATGAGTCCGGATTTTGGTGATAAACAGATAAATGGCGTTCAATCTGCAAAGATGTTGGGGCACCTTGTGTGCCTTCATGGCCTTGATCAATGGATGGATGGCTATTCAGGTAAGGCGATGCTATGGATTTATCCGGTGACATTCTCGATAAATCCAAGTCAACCGTCATCATACAATCGATCCATTTTCCTGAGTCCTTAGATGTCTTAGATGATCCTATATACTGGCCAGGGTAGACTTTTGGCGGGATAACACAGGCTGAAGTTTGTGGCTGTGATTGAATATGGGGTTCAACGGGTACTGCAGTTGGTTTTGTCTGAACCACATTGTTTCTTCTTTTCTGGCATGAAACAGCATTGAAGAAGCTTTTAAGATTACCAGAACTGGCTTTTTGAGAGGCAGCACCGTGCACAACCGCAGCGCTAGGGTTTGCAGGCATTTTGTGTTTGGTCGGCTTATCACGCTTAACCGTGAAATTTCGTTCTGGTGGATGTGTGCCGGTGATCAATTTTGTGGCAGGCATAGCCGAAGTGCCGAAACTGGGCGTACTCCTAGACACAGCGGATAACGGGCTAGACTGATCCGTGTGATCAACCTATCTAATTGGGGTACCAGAGTTGATTTCGTTATTCGCCACGTTATCCGTAACTGCAGCAGGCGTGAAACAAATGCCAAACTTGTCGCTGCCACCAACAGAAACATTTTCAGAATGGGGTTTAGCAGTCGGGTTTGCTTCTAGCTGTCGTCTTCTAAGCTCTCGCTGTAAGGGGTTTTTGTCCTCTATTATTTTCAGACGTTTGAAAGTCGTATTATGCTGATTCAAATTGCAATTTCGAATGAATTGTCTAGCAATTAGTTCATTTTCAAACTGGAATAGTATGGGGCAGTCATAGCGTATAAACTTTGTACGTAGCCTAGTGCAGCTGGACCAACAAGTTTGCATGCCGCACGCAGACAGTAGAACTCTCTGAACAGTTTTCATAGGTAGCTTGTAAGGTACATTAAAAACCACAGCATTGCGTGAGCAACGTACTCTATTCTGTACTTCGGTCGAAATTGAGTCAATCAGCGAGCTACATTTCGTGATAGGCATTTTACCAATATCTGAGGGCGATTCAAATAATGCAAACAGACTATGCATGGGTTGCAGCATAGATGTGAGCGTGTCAACTTTTAATGATAGCGCAGCATACGCAGTTTCAGCTACAAAGGGACATCTTTCAGGTGTCTTTTTCAGGTCAGCAAGAAATGCACAACCATCTGTCACAGCGCCTACACTCTTTCGGGTGCTTTTTCTGCTACTACCGCCGGATGTTTTGCGTGGTACCTTAGTTTGTTCGCTGAGCTTCTGAACTAAGATGGGGACATCCTTGTTTACAACACAACTTTTTCTCATCGCGCGTGTCCTTACTGCAGACATGAGAGAAAACCAAACGTTTCACGATAACAAAAATAAAAAATTGCTCTGAGCGTGGTCGCTAACTGTTAATAGTGAGAAAGTGAAACCAGAAAATTGGACGAATCAGTGAGGAACAGAGGGAACGCACCGCAGTTGACTAGCAAAATCCACGCCTTCGTGTAAGTTGTGCACGTCTGTCACCAGTGCCCTTTGTCTCCCGACGGCTCAGCGTCAGGTCAGTTGCAAAGTTGATTTCGTGTCACGACTGGCCACGCACACGGTGCGCTTGGGTCACGTGTTATCGGATCACGTCGGCGAGATGCGTCAACCAGGCGAACGACTTGCGATTTATCAATCGATTCACGGCGCTGTTGGCTTTCGGGCGGTGTTTGTCACCGTCAGCTTTTTTCGCAATGCGTCAACGATCACACTGTTGGCAGTAGATTTTTTTCGATATCTAGCTTGTATGAAAGCCAATCGAGATGGCTAAGGGCTTTTTCGATGGCACTCGAATTTGTCTTGCAGTTGAGACCAGAAATAGTCTCTTCGAGTTTAGAATAGACGGAAGGCACTAAAAGTGCCGATTGATGAAAGATGGTAATCCGTAGAGAAGCAGTTTGTCACAGTTTTTGCAGAAACCGACAGGAATATATCCAAAAAAAACTGCAACACTAGATTCCTTACACGAAATCCAATGAAATGATGTATGAAGCTCCAAGTTGCGGCGTGTTTGCACGAAGAAATCAAGTAAATTGTCAGAGCTCACTGTAACGCGCACCTGCTTGCAATGTGGACGTGTCGTAGGTGATAGTAATCAACTGAGCGAATCTAGTCACGGCTAAGACATTTGGCTCAACCTAATGAACTAACGTTTTCTTGAGGAATCGGAATACCTCCGGCTAAGATAAGCACTGTCGGTAAATGTCTCGGAAAACAGTCAATTATTGGAATGCTTTCGGATGAAGCTACTACTTAGTTTATCGAACGTGTACCGTATTGTTTGGCACAATGAGGTATAGTGACTACCAGAAATACATATGGCAGCTATCAATATGGCAGGTTGGCTACTGTTTAGTGCTAGATCGTCTACCTTATATTATATCGGTAGGTGACTTCTTCTTTGGCAAAAGTACAGTGTGTTTAATGCAAACAAGCATTTCGCATTGCCGTACGGAGAGTTTGCGATTACGCTAAGCATTGCATCCTGCTAATCCTGCAGAAGCAAAAGACCACTTTTTAGACGTACGCCATTCCGTAAAGATTTCAAAAAAAAACTAAATTCGTCAGTAGACGAAATAGTGCACTTCAATGAGTTCACAATTTAACCAGCTATTTTCACAACCAAGCGCATGGTAAGTGTAATCGTATTTTACACCACCGTAAGTGCTGTTCGTAGGTGGCTCGGAATTTGCATAACAGTCGACTCACAGCAAACAATCGCGTAGAGCAGGGAGCCTGTCAAAGCCACTGCGAGTCCAAGCTGCCATCCAAGGGTCAGTCCCAGAAGGTAACCGGTCAAGAGAACAATTAAAAGCGGAAGAAGGCTGGCGCTGAAGTTAAATTTAATTCGATTTCCAGGAATGTGGTATGGGTTTATGGAGGTTAACACGGCGATTTCGTCTGTTAAAAGGAAAAGCGAGGCAATTTGCGTTATTATTTTGGGTTTACAGAAAAGTCGCGGCCGCATCAATTTTAAAACCAACACCAATAAGCCTGGGCAGAATGCAATGTGCGAGAGTGGGGACTTGTACCAACGGTGATTATGCACGTAGTACATGTAATTGTGAAATTGGTGTATTGTAGCAAAACACGTGGACCAACGCAAAGTAGTAATTCTTATCAGGGCATGTTGGATTATCGAAATGGATCGGACTATAAATGGTCCAAAGTGTAATTTTTCCGGTTACGGAATCACCAACTTGAAACTAATATATAACCCCTGAAGATATCACAACTAATCAAGTCACTGTTAAGGACCGGTACAAACCATTTAAGGTAGCTGAGAAATGATTGAAATGTCAACACCAAGTAAGCTAACTTACTGACGTATACTATCCGGATTAGTTTCTCTTCTGTTTTGATGAAAATATACGGAGTGAGTAGACCTAAGGTTAGTGTAGCCCAATAATTACATACACTATCGGTAAGATTAAGGGTTTAATCGAACGGAACATTACGCGTGTATAAAAGACAACTTGGTTGTCGTCAGATGAGCCGAAACCGCCTAGGGTATCGAAACTATGGAGAACTATTTTAACACCATTAAGCAGTGTTAACTGTGTCCACATTGAATGCTCCTGAAGGATGCACAAAAATCCCAGCTGTAATCTGATCAAAATTGGAATGATTTGCATCATGCATTTGCAATGTTACACCAAATTAAAGAAAAACGGATCAACTGAAGAGAAATTGTAACAGGCTTCTTGTCATCTTTTTGCGTCACTTTAAATGTACCTTGTACCAAACCATGAGAGTAGCTTTAGTGTACCGTGCTTGCCCACGTTGTAAATATATGTATTGATTCTGCTACCGCGACATTCTTAATACAATGCTCTTCTCTTCATCATTGTACGTTATGTACTTCTTGTTAAATTATGGTATTGTGAATCTTATTATTTTAGCATAAATATGGAAAACGGTGTACTATTGATGGATGTTGAATTCGTAGCTTTTGTCTCATTATCAGCTAACAATGCTAAAGATTTACTATTGAGCACCAATTCTAATAATGCTTGGTGATGAAAAAAGCTGTAACAAAAGCCAAAACTGCAAACGCACCGAAGGTGCTAGCTGGAAAGATCTGACACCCTGGCTATGTAGTCTTTAATCTACCAATATTGTGGTTGCTTTCTTTTACCTCTGTGGATTAGACGTACGCCTCTTTGAGGAACGAAGTTTACGAACCACAGCCCGATGTGTTATGACTTAGAAAACAAAATGAATATTTGTATCGGTTATGTGCTTTGACGAAAGTCCAATACCTTTCTACGAAAAGTTACCTAAGTGAAACTAAGTACCCTTGTGAAACTCACCGCTTAATGTTTGTAAGTAGATATTTTCGTTCATCCCCGGGGATCTACTAAACAATCCCACAGTGATTGGTACCACAGTGTGTGGGCAAACCAACATGCTAGCAAGAGAACGAAGGCAGTTGTGCTGGAACGGAGTGACCCAACCAGGGCGAGGTGACTGAGATTGTACAGTTGGAGAGGACGAAAACGGCCCGGGACCCGATTGCAATGACGTGAGCACTTCCATGGCATCTTATAAAGAAAAAAAACAGTCAACTTGCAACAAATGCTTAATAAATAGCTTATGATGGCCTATTTAACGATGCGACTAATGGAATAGATGGAAAGCCCTTAAGTAAAAACACGTCACACCGTTAACAATGCAAAATAAGATCATGAACTTTGATCCAATAACTTGTCATGTCGATTCTTTTCCTTATCATTTTCATAATCAAGAAATTAATGTCGAAAGGAACAGTATAAAATAAACAGTTTGGACAACCAGTGATCTGTAGTGACCTGGAGATTCCCCTGTTTGGCTGCCGCATGCTGCGTAAAATATTACAAAATCACAAAATTATATTTTCTCGATGTACATAGCAAAATAGCCGCTCGCCTGTTTGAACGTTGCTCGAGTTTGTTTGAGTCAACGGCGCGACGCTCCTCGGCTCCGCTGCCATCTTTGCTCTCCGCGCACGCGACCACACCTTTCCCTAGCTAGCTATCTTTCGGTGCCATAATTTTAGCACTAGATAGCCTTTCGCCCACTTAATAAATTTTTCCTAGCGTTACGTTTGGTGTTCTCCACTCATCTGAGGTTGGCCTTATTTTCGCGTATTGGTTTTAAAGCGTACCGATCCCGCTTCGCGCTTTAGATCCATACCTTAATGAAATCGCAATTGTGTGAGCAGATTTTAATATAAAATGGAGTGAACTTATCCTAATTAGCGCTTTAACGTGTATCCCCAATTAGTTTTTACACCTTGACACCAGAATTTAGAATCATGTTTTGTGCGTACTCACGGATTGACATGTAGCGCACCTGAAGTTTGTGTACAATTATTGTGTGGTTCCTGAAATATAATACTGTCGGCAACAAGCAAATATCCGTTCAAGAGAAAAGTGAACAATATTCATCAGTGGAATGCATTACTGATCGGTTATTTTGCAATGTATAAACCATTCAGTGCCATTAGGCGGCTTCTTTTCCATTTATAGCGAAGCCCGCCGGATTAGTTCCGGGCAGTTTTCTTGATGGCCACAACATATATAAATTAATTGGGATTTCATCGCGTCAAGTTCCAAATCTGATAGTCCTCCACATGCTCGGGAAAGCACTAGACTACAGTTTCAGTCTGTTGGGCTTCCTCAGTATTGCGCATACATCGAATTCATCAGTGGAGGATAAAATGTATTATATCACCCTTAGATTGTAAATAATGAGGGTCCGAAGCTCAGTGGTATAAGCTTCCGACTGGCCGCGTAAGACGCTGGTGGTCATAAAATCGAATCCCGATAGATCCGATGGATGTGCACTACTGATGATGCCAAACAGACTGAAAATGTAGTCTTCAGCTTTTCCGGCCACGAGGAGCACTACACGTCAAGGTCACCCTCACACACGCGTGATGTGCATGCTACTGGTTCATTTGGATTATTTCCCTCTATCCTCTCTCCATCTTCTCGCAGCGTTGTCACTGTACGCTCATTCGAACCGGATTTACCAGCTCTATACAGTGATCCATCATATGTGGAAATATCTTCTACGATTAGAGGCTGTGCCATCACTAACCGTTTTCACTGGCATCTGTGATTAAGCGCAAGCGTTTAATTCAATCGTATTGAGCCGATTGCCTTTCTGTGTGACACCATTCGATACAGAATTCTTGAGGCAGGCCAAAAAGCCTAAGCTTACTCCGATCCAGTGTTTCTCAACACAGCTGTGAAAGAATCTGTGTTCAGCGCTCTGTTCAGGTTGCAGTCACTCGCCATTCCTTGTGACCTTGTCAGCCAGTGCGGCTGCATAACCCATAACACGGACCGGCGACCACGCCGGCCGCTCATTTGACCTTGCAACCACCTAGCTCGCCTGAACGATGTCCGCCGCTCTCAAAGCTGTAAAAGTACAGAACGCCAACTAACCCACTGGGTCAGGTAACGACACCAAATTGAATGGCAGAAAGACGAAACCGAAGAGACTCCCATCGAAAGGCATTTGCTGGTTAGGAGAATGTCATCGGGTAGTAAAAATCGGTCTGGCTTGTTCGCACTGTTTAGAATGGTACCATACGAAATGTGCAAATGTGTCCCAACAACAGTTACGGGAGCGAAATAGCTCCCAAGATGCATTTTGGTTCTGTACTGCGTGTTCCACCGTCCCCCTCGTTAAGTGCTTGCTTATCCTAGCTGAGAAATACGACCGGTTAAGCGCAGAAGCAGAGCAGAGGATTAACAATAAGCTTACTTCAATGGAAGCGAGTATGGACCACAGAAGCCTAGCGGCTGCTAAGCAACGGAATGCTGAACAATCCGCTTCCCCTGCACCTCAATCAGTCCCGTCTCCATCTCCGTTGTCTTCTACAAATTTGGTAGAACGCCGGGCAAAAACGGACTGTACCTACGTGAATCAAACATTATTCACAGCAACAAAAATCAGGCACCATTCAAAACGTCTGGTTAAGCAAATTCCACTAGACCTGACATCTAGTATTAACAAAGATGAAGCAGCCAAACACCAACCCTTGGTACCTGTAGCTCAAATATCTCTTGTCGAGACTAAGCCTCCCAGAACACCAGTTACTTATGCAGAGATTGCTGCAAGGGTCCACCGAGAGGCCGCCGTTGCGTCCTCTTCCATTGTAAACACCGTTAACGCAAATAGAGAGAAAAAGAGCAAACAACCACTTGTCAACAAGTCAAGACAAATGAGTACCATACCTTGTAGATCGATTAAAAAGGGATCCAACAACAGTGCCCGGACTGTTGTATGCTCAAATGTCCCTGAATCTACCGCCATCACATTACGGGATAAGTTATCAGACGACCAAGATCAATGGAACTCATTGTGTACGCAGATGAGTATCAAAGCGAAACCCATAAAATTGTTACGAACTACTTGTCATCCGAACTCGCCACACTATGGAGAACCCAGACTTATTCGAGTAACTCTAGAATCCTCCACCGACGTAGAAAAAGTTTTGCTCTCCGCAAGCGCGCTAAAACACGAATCCTGTGGGATACGTATCTATCCTGATGTCCCATGGAGCGCGCGACAACCAAAACGAAACACCGAAGAGGGGCACAGCAAGCAAGACCGCCTAAACACAATCTTCATACATGGCCTGCCAGAACATCCTTCTAACAATGTTCAAGAGACCGGAAAGCACGATTTAGAACAGTGGCGGTTCATTCGTGCGACACTTTCTTTGGATAATGTTGTGGCACTATCGCTCACCAGGATACCTCTCTCATCGAATTATAGAGGATGCGGCCCTAAAATCTTAAAAATTGTGGTTCAGTCAGAGCAACAAGCGAAGGATGCTTTGGATCGATGGCGGAGAAATCGGAAACATCTTCCTTCCGAAATTCGGTTAAAGGTCGCAAATAATTCGCGCAGCTCAAATATTAAAGCAACTGAAGCAGCAAGCATACTGACGAATGTACAGAAGTGTAACTTAACTGCTGCTTTAATTGACTCTGACGTAGGTCTAAACGAAGGTTGGGACGCACCTTGGCCGAATCAAGTTGCAAACGAGGTATCATTGACCCATCGAAAAAACGAATAACTGCCAACCTCCCATTGGTCGGCATTCTCCCACACTTGACAGCTTCACCCCTCTGCGGGCTCCTAGAGACCGAGAAACTGGCCTGCTTGTATACAAATGCTCGGGGTCCATCTAACAAACTGGCTGAACTGAAAGATCGCCAAGCTTCTGGCTCGTATGATGTCATTGGTATCACCGAGACATGGTTGCACACGGGAATGACGGACGCTGGAGTGTCGCTACCCGGCATGTCGCTGATCCGGAACGACAGGCTCACAAAAGGAGGAGAGTAATCCTGTACTACCGAAACGACTTACAGTGCGAAGCCGTGGAGGATTCAGACTCGCAGTTCCCCGACTCTCTTTGGTGCCGATTGCAGTTAAAAAGCAGGGACGCTTGCCTTATTGTCTTGGTGTACCGCGCCCCTAACTCAACGCCCAAAACCGACTACCACCTAGCGGCTGCTTTAAGGTGCAGTTTACAACAAAAGTACACTCACGTTCTTATCATGGATGATTTCAACGTACGTTGTTTAGACGCCCCTGCCACAATCGGAGAACAATTCAAAACCGATTTACAAGATCTAGTAACTACTGCTCCTCTTTACAACCACATCACTTTGCCCACTCGGTTCAGAACTGGTAACAGGCCTTCTGTGCTGGATCTTGTGCTTACCAAGGAGGAGCATATGATTGATGCGTTGGTTTTAGACTGCCCGTTGGGTCGCAGTGATCATGCAGCCATCAGTTTCAACTTCCTCTGCTATGCAGAATATCTGAATGATAAAGATGAGACTGTGCGAACCATCACAAGGTACGACCGACTCGCCCAGCTAGTCAGCGCCACAACATGGTCTCTCCTCGAAAAAGAACCCCGGAAGTCGCCTGGCTCGAGTTCGTCAACACATTCAGTCAGCTGATTGCACAGGCTTCAGAGACCAAAGATTGCAATAAGTGCAAATCAGTTTCTTTGGTTAGAAGCAGAAGCCGAAAATGGATGACAGTACGCAACGCAGCATGGCGAGTGTACAGAGAAGCTCCAGCACCAGAAACTTGGGACAACTACGTAGCCCAACGTAACCACTGCACTCAACTGTTAAGAGAAGACAAAGCCGCCTATCAGCAGAACATCGCAAAACCTTCAGTGCTAACCAAAACTGCTGTACAAGCACGTTAATAGCCTACGAAAGGTGAGGCAAGGATTTCCTCCACTCAAGACGGTTGATGGCCCAACAAGAACGTCTATGGAAGCTGCAAACGCGCTGCAGATGCAATACGCCCCCACGTTGCAAGGAGTCTTGCCATCAAACGATCTACCAAGCTTTGTATTCTGCTCACCAGGACTAAACCACATCAATTTTATCGCAGAGGCTGTATTGCAAAAGCTGACTTCTCTACGCAAACACAGCTCGCCGGGTCTCGACACCATTCGTCCAGAGGCATTGGGAGCAGCAGCAAACCAACTGGCAGGACCTTTAGCCCAGTTTTTCCAGCACTGTTTAGACCAGAACCAAGTTCCCGCCATGTGGAAGCTTGGAATAATAACCCCGATTCACAAAGGTGGAAGCAGAACTGATCCCTCCAACTACCGCCCAGTAACCCTTCTTCCTATACTCTTCAAGGTCATGGAATCCATAATTGCCGATGCACTGGTGTGCTATCTGGAAAACTGCAATCTCATCACCCCTGAACAGCACGGTTTCCGTCGACAGCGGTCATGTACAACGAATTTACTAATTGCGCGCAGTAGTTGGACCGAGGCAGCTGACGCTGGAGAAGGTCTTGATGTGATCTACCTGGATTTTGCCAAGGCTTTCGATCGTCTAGACCATCGGATACTACTATCCAAGCTGCAGCATTACGGGATCGGTGACCCTCTTTTAAGCTGGATCGCCAACTTTCTATTTCAAAGGCAATTGGTGGTCAGAGTTCGGAGCTCTTTATCGGACCCCATACAAGTGGAGTGTGGTGTGCCGCAAGGCTCGGTTCTGGGTCCAGGTTTGTTTTTGGTGTTTATTAACGACCTTGCACTGGGAAGTGCTTCAAACTTTCTAATGTTTGCCGACGATATCAAGATCTGGCGCAGGATCCAGGCGAACACCGACCAAAATTTGCTTCAGAGTGATTTAGATATGGTGGATCAATGGTCGACCCAAAACTTATTGCATTTCGACGTCAGCAAATGCAAGGTGCTTTCCATCCGAAATCAAAGCAGCTACTCATACCGACTCGGAACGGATGTACTGCAACAATCAACTCTCGAACGTGACTTGGGTGTCCTGGTTCAAGATTACTTAGGTTGTTCCAGGCAATCCGAAAAAGCCTCGAAGACCGGGAACCAACACGTCGGGCTGTTGAAGCGGGCGTTTGGACAAATAAACAGCTCCATATTTCGACAAATGCTCAGTGCATATGTTTGTCCCCATGTCGAATATGCAATTCAAGCCTGGCATCCATGGCTGAAACGCGACCTTAATGCGCTATGGCAGCCACAACGCCGGGCATCTAAGAACGTAATTGGAATGCGCAACCTTTCCTACCAAGAGAGGCTGCAACGACTGGGGTAGTTCAGTGGAAGCTATCGCAGACTACGAGGCGACCTTATTATGGCATACTTGATTCTGCGAGACCCACATCATGTGTGTCGCCCTCTACTGCAACTCAGCAGCAATACAAACCTGAGGGGCCACTCATTAAAACTCGCAGAACAATACAGTCGTCTGGAATGCCGCAGAAATTTCTTTTCCATCCGTGTCTGTCACCCGTGGAATGCGCTCCCAGAATCGGTCGTCTCTGCACCGACACTAACAGTATTTAAAAGACGGCTGGACGATGCACTCATGCACTTACACTTTGTTACTTAACACCTGGAGTTTACCACGGAATTATTTGTTGTTAACTGTGGATGCTGTGAATCTAAGAGGATTGCAGGACTGCAGCGAAGCAAAAGATAAGTCCTTATTTTCATATTTAAAGTGTCAACTATTTTACTATCCTTATCATCATTATTGTTATGTTGATATCCCTACCAACTATCCAACGGGACTTGTAAAGCAACGCTTCTTAACCCGTATAAATTCATTGTTCATTGTTCATCTAATTCGTAATCTGGTACGACGAACTTGCAATTATTTAAATCAGAAAGCCCCTACCTATGCTTACATGCACATATTTGGAAGCCGATGCGAGTAATATTGTAGTGCAGAGTTCTATAGACTGTTTAAGATGGATGAGTTACACACAAAATGTAGGTACACTTGGATAAACCCTGCCTCATGAGCACTCCGAAGTGCTTGTCTAATTGTTTATATATTTCACTCCAGTATTTACGGAATATTCAGGAATTAAATCAAACGTTTTGGCGGAAAACGCTTAAATCAGATTTCTGTATGAATTCTTTAGGTTAGTGGAATTGTTAAAGCCTGTTACTTACATTTGCACCAAATAGAAATGAAAAAATGTGTGTTTAGCCTTAAATTTCCAGAGAATGTAAATAAATATTAGTAATTAAGGGGAAAGTAATATAGGTATCAATATCGGTTCCACCTGTTGAAATGCGCAAGAAATTACCCGCGTCTGCAGCAAGTTAAAAAGGCTGTGGTTGTGTTAAAAGTAAGATAACATCAGAGGGTAACATAAGGAGGGCGAGGGTTGGTGTGGAGCGGTCCGCCCAGAGCGGCAAGTGACAGGGGACGTCATTTTTAGTATGGTCGATTGTTCGATACCAAATATAAATGACAAAATCTCCGGAAAACTGAGAGTTGAAGATTTTAATGCTACTCTGTATAACCAACAGCAATTTGCACCATGTGTCACACTTATGCAAACGTTCTACCTATCATTCCGGTTGCTTATCCTATTGTGGCCACTTCCACCATATTTACCTCAGTGCCGTAGCAGATGGTTGAGGCAAAGTCGGTGTCGTAATTTAAAAATTCCTGGACAAACACTTACCGAGATAAAATATATAGAACGCAATCTAACATACCGGGTCTTTGTACCTGAGTGATAGTAGATGTAACTACACTGAGATAGCTATCTTGCTGTTTTCAACCAGTAATCAGTAATTCTTGTACATTACTCTCCCGCCAAGATAGATACAGCCAGGTCATTAATTCTCAGCAGCTATTTCTTACGTTGATTATCTGATGCAAACAGCTTTTAGAATTTAAGAAACCATACCAACTGCGTTTTTGTTTTTGAAATGAAATGGCGGTTAAATCGAATTTGCTAAAAGATTTGTAAGCTGAAGCGTATGGTCCCTTGATTAGCAAATGCACACATGGCTGAAGACGCTCGAGATAATCGCAGGTGAGAAAGGTAACCTAATGTCAGGAGCACTCTAGCTGTTTAACTTGGATGTATAACAGTGTAACCTAGTGATTGTGTTGATGATTTGGATCAGTGTTTACTTTTAAAGCGTGTCCACTCAATGTACACTGTACCCTGAGCCGAGTGCGCGGCCTTGACTCGCCTGTTCTGCAATCGATCAGGACGGAAACTTTACCACCGCCACGGGCGGCAAAGTTAGTTGTTACGCCAATGGATAAAATCCAAACTCTTCTCAGTTTACTTTTCTTAATCACCTTGCGTGCTTTCATAGTGGCGCAAGTGATAGATCTGTCTCTGAATTACACGTTCAGGGAATGTTTCTTCATGGAATCAATGAGACCCTTGTTGTGAGCAAGCTAAGAAGAAAAATACAACCACGCTAGTTATTTTTGTGAACAAGGCTTCTGCATATGCAGGTTTGTTTCTGTCTTATTCCAATATACTTTTAGAAATATACATAATTATTTGGGTCATTTTATTTGGTAGACCTGTACATTTCACGGATTTAAGCTCACCAATTCCCAGTAGGTTTTCGAGTAGAGATTCAGGAATGTTTGCATCTCTCTGCGTCAGGCATCTCTTTGATTGCACAGCAGAAACCAATCGCTGCCTCTGTCTTTTTCGCATTCGTTTGCCATGTATAGGATTCATACATCCTGATTCGCCGATATCAGCAGATTGGAGCACCAAATGCTTGACATTATCCGTGTTAACCATGGGTTCGTGTTCATCCGCTGTTTGTGCATGTGCAAGCAGATGAGCCGTATATGCGTCTAAAGATCTGGAATGTCCGGAGTTTCTCCCTTCAAAGGCATACTGTCCTTGCCTTAACTCGGAACGTGTTTTCCTCGACACTCTGCGATGTGTCGAGAGGTTACCTTCATTTGACTGGTGGTGTCGATGTTGGTTGACTATAGGTGATGCAGATTTTTGGCTTCGTGGTCTTACCACTATCCCAAATCCTCCAGCATGATGATGATCATGGCTAGTAGACGTGAACGAGCTAGACGATCTTTGGCGTTTTTCGTTCCGAGACAAAAGTGTGCTGTGGGTTCTCGCTGACTGCTTCGAACCTCCAACCGAATCAGTCTGGAAATGTGACTGATGCATGCTTCAACATTTCCATTTTCTATAAAAGTAATGAAGAGGACATGAAGCCCTGGCAACGACTGAACTGTTTTGGTAACACACAGGAGTTGTAAAATACAGCTGTTTATCAACGCTAAAAAGTTTAGGTAACTCTTGGAAGCACTAACTATGTATTCCGGTTAATATTTATGGCTAAGGGACTAAACGGCGAAAAACAGCAGGAGAAAAGTTCATCAGCTCTAAGTAAAAATGGAGCAAGCTGTTTATAGGATCAACGTCCATAGCATTCGTAGCAAAGTTTCGGTGTCACATATTTTAAATAATGGTGGTTGTGCAACTCACTAAGGTTAACAGTTTACTTCCAGCACCAAAAATCATTGCCCTGGTACGACCTACTTCAGGACGGAATTATCGTAAACCATACTTTTTGAACTTGGCACCATATGAAAATCACGAGGAGCACTCGCACAATAATCGCTTGTTTACACTTGCGAAAGCGACTGAAACATTGCATACCAGAAAAGGTAGTCCTGTAACCTACTTCTCACCTGCCTACCGCGAGGTTCAAATTATGCATCCAATTCGTTCACATCGTATCTCACATTTATCTCTGCTTCTTTGTGGCAGCTATTAGATTTCTTCCACGAAATTCAACAGATGAAGTAAATTAGCTGCTGCAAGTGAAGGTAACATTTAGACAAGTTTCTGGTTGCACGCTTAAGACTAATGATAATAGTTATAATTTACTTTTATTTTAGAAAGATCGACGTTGCATCCGGTTGGCTGAAGCTGATGGGTCATTAATAGTTAAGTGAAAAAATACAGGGCTTCTTTTTACTAGCTTTATTCCATATGAAATAATATCATGTGTTATATCCAGTTACTCGTCCATTTTATTTATGATCATTCATTGGTAGACTTCTCGGGCAGTAGGAAAGTAAGTACAGTCTTCAGTTGTCAAATACATGAGGCCTAACAGCGAATTCCGGTTTAGTTTCTGCATGTCGACAAGCTGGTTTTAACAGAGTGGATTTGAACACGCCTGGTTACTATACGGTTATTATGCCGTTCCTGATTTTATTGCTTCCACATTCGCAGTCTTTCAAGAGTTCATTTTATGGCATAGGTACACCGCAGGAATCAGATTTCCCACCTCCAACTAATAAGGATCGTTGTATACAAGATTTCGGATGATTATAGACTAGAAATAAGTGGGGCAAGTGAGGACGGATCTCACACTGCGTGACGTGGTTCTCAAATGACAATATACTAACAGAGAAATGCGTTTACGCGATTCTAAACACGTAACGAATACATGTCGATATTTTGCAATTCCTTGGCAGAAAAATGGTATATGTGTATTTTTAGAGAGCAGTGGGAGTATACAATGTCGGCACCTCGTGGTGCATAGAGAAAATTGAAGTGCCCAATAAAGATGAGTTGGTTACTGTGCTTCATGAACGGGTCTTGACTTAGCTATTTGATCATCTAACAAAAGCAACTAGAAGTCGTTCAATTGCGAATAACCAAGTGCAAATCGGTCGATAAGGTGCTTTGTCAGTTGCACACTACTGTTTAAAAAGGATCTCCGGCATTGTTCCAGGACGTGGTGGGATTTTGCCTGGCAAGCCTTCTCCCTATAAAAAGCCATAAATGTCCATCTAAAAACATTGCGACGTGGCGGATGTGTCGCACCACTGAATAAAGCCACTGCCCACAACTACACACTGACAAGTTGAATAGAGTCATATTTCACTATTTTCTTGATAGGTACAAAAGAAGATACTACCTCTCTGCACATACTACGTGTATAGTGCCTTTGTTGTCTACGCTATGCAAACATGAACCTAAATTATCATCCAGTCACTGACTACTTTGTTCCCTATGCTTCTTCTTCTTCTTTCTTAGTTACAGCATGTACAAGTTTCGCCGAATGCCGATTACATGCGTAACAACATGTCTTGCGAAACATACTTACTTGCAAATTTTGATCATGCCTGATTTGGTGTGCTACAAGTTCGAGAATAAACTATTTATTTATTTAGTTAGTATTTATTCAGAGGTGAGAATGCGAGGAAAGACTGGGAATCTAGTTTGCTTCACTTAGTAGGTAATAGAAGCAGGAATTCAATAATGTTGTTGTTCTCACATAATGCGCCAATTGACATCTACTGGAGCAATATTCTGTGAATATTTGCAGCTATGCATACGGGTTAATATGACGGATAGGTAGTGATATTTGAAAAACGTATGGTAATATTCTCGTTTTAAGCGAATAATATCACTTCGCCGAATGAAGTAACATCACAAATTTGTGTAAATGGCGTCAAATGTTCCGCCGATATACGCTCGTTTAGGCAATATTTAACCAAGGAAACAAGAGTGTAGTGTAGTAAATCCCGCGACGGCAAGCACTAATTTACATAACATTTGCATACCCGAATTTTCACCCTTCCGGCTGCTAATTGAAGTAATGAAAGCAATACCCATGGCTGCTTGATGGCAATGTGGATCTAATTACTCTCACCAAGTCCCACTACACAAACATTCAACAGAGTGAATATTGATCCTTCCTCAAGCACAACGGTTTTTCATGCATACCTGTTGTGAAGTTAGCCGTTCGAATTATTGGCGGAGAAGATATCATTATCAGGTAGTTAAACATAATACAGCAACAGGTATTTTGATTTGTCATAAAAGATGCCAGTTGTAGAACGACTCTTTGGTGGTGTGCCGTAGCGGCTAACAGCTGTGCCGTTAAAATCTGGGGACAAGAGTACTCGTATTTCCTCCATGGTTTTGTGGTATTGTCGTGGGGCAGACCAATATATACTAGGTGGGTTAGGTTTCAAAAGGCAGACGATGGCAGCGTAAGCATTCACGCTAATCCCAAATTAAAATACGTATAAGTCCAACGAATATTATGGCACAAAATATTGATTAGGGCATATTATTATAATGCTCCCTACGAATAAGGATTTCAACAGCATTGCGTTTCTGCCTCATTGGTAACCGGCAGCAATATGTTATGAAGCATGCCAATAAAATCTCAAGAGCGATGGGGAATTACAGTAGGCTCTATATATAGGTAATGTAGACATGACTCAAAAATTACCTCAGCATATTAGTAAGTTAGTAAACACATTCCATATTTCTGTGATTGTGAGTGCAATCCTACTCCTTTCCACTGCTTGTGGCAAATTAGAAAGTACTGTGCCGGTTGATGAAGAGATAGTACTGCTCACTGCTACGATTATCATTGGAAATCTTCCATCAGGCGACACTTCACAGACTAATTATGACTTGTCGAACGAGCCCAAACTAAATATAATCCACAGAGCGTGTGATATTGAGAGTAATTCCTCGCTGATAACGAGATCAGGCAGTTCCAGTGCTGTTTCCTTTTTGCGTGGTCGCATTATTGTGGTTTATAGAACACCAGCTGCGTTAACTATTGAATTTTAAAGGCAGTCAAAGCCACTAGCTCAAACCTGTCTTCTCAAACCCATAGTCTACACTGGCAAGTGCTTAAGATTTTTAAAGAAAGCCACTGACCTGGTCAAACTTATCGACAGTAAAAGTTTATTTGATCCAGATTTCTCAAAAATATGGCCGGATGAATCTGTATTATCTCGTGTCATGGATAGACAATCATATATGAGTCATGGTCGTAAATAAATAGACGATGTTCTAGTATGTTTGGCCCCTACATTTGGTATCACCAACATCCAGTCTTATTCATGAATAAAAAAGGCACACTGCTGCAAATGCATAGCGACATACATTTTATTCAACCGTCATTACTTTACGTTTTTCCCAAGTTTATTGCCCCAAATACCCTGAATCCCTTTTTTGAGGCTAACGAGTACAGACGCGAAAGTGTTGCATTATCACGCACCCTTCGGTTTCCGTGACTAGTTGCTTGTTATTTCCTAGCCCGAACTACCAGTTGGATCCACTCCAACAGATTCGCAATTCCCCTACTTTCGATTCACATCTATTTATCACTGTCATGTATTCGTTTGTTGCTACACGGTGCACATTCTTGTTTGGCGTCCAGTTCCAGCCGACATGGACACACCTGCTCGCCAAGGACCCAGTTTGCTTACGCTTGATTCATTATTTGTTACTTCATTCACGCCTTTGTCACCTTTTCAGGTCAGACCAAGTCTATGCCCAATTCCCCAACCCCCCAACAGTCTCGTCTTAACCTTGTTGCATAACCTCTGACCGTTGTTTCTTGCTTGGTTCGTTGGTGAGACCGGCAAATCTTGACATATAGTCGTTAGCACCGATTCATTGTACTGTCTTAATACAACCGGATCTTCTTTTATTATCGTAACATGTAACCTTACGTACCCATTTTGGTGAGGATGTTGAATTATTTTGTGATTACTCTATTGTGTGTAAAAAGCAACCTAGTTCAACACTAACTGTGACTATTCGATTGCCCAGAAGGTTGTCGGTAAACGAATCTTGCTCCGAAGTCGCGGATCGGTATCCAACATGTAGTCTAACTATACTAAGTGCTTTCTACGTCTACATCTGGATTGAAGCTAGTGTGCCTCCACCGAACACCTTGTGGTTTGGAAGCACGTAAACGGATAATACCCAACAAGGAATATGACATCTGTCTAATGGTCTCTGTCGTTAACCTACACAAACTACAGCTCATCAGTTTGAGGATGCAGGGAAAATAGCCTTTTAGAATTGCATCCACAAGCGAAGTTACTCGAAGCACTTGTTTTTACTATTCCACTCCCATCAGCTAGTAAACAAAAAGTTTACTCACTTCCGAAATTTAATTTTCAAGGAGCCAAACCCAGTCCCTACCCCCACAGAAGTGGCTATCCCAATCAGTTTTAAATAGCACTGTAATTCAATAGTTTTAGCTTGGGTTCAGACACACGGGCTTCAACGCCATAGTTTATAAAGCAACACGAACAATCCCCATGATATGTTACAACCATTCCTACAAATGTGGTTAGAATTCGTTCACTACATTTTCAACTGCACATACTACGCTCATTAGTTTTGTGA